GCCGATCACGACTCACTTGGTCGCGGTTCAGCTCGGTGCGCACACACGCGCGAATCACGGCTCTCTCCCTCTCTCCTCACTCCCCCAACCCTCTGTCGGTGCGAGTGAGCCGACACGTCTCAATGAGCCGAGAGGGGCAGCGGTACAACATACGGTACAATCGTACACGAAGTAGGAGGAACAAATAGTCACCATGTTATTCGTAGATACTAGATTTAGCTACAGACTGAGACATTCCAGTCTCACGGTGATAAAGGGCGAAGATAGGTATATCCTAACGGGTAGGGTGACGCTGGGCAGAAATATGCCTTTTGAGTCTTGAATGTATTATATTTTTCCATGAAATTGAGTATAATAATCGGGCGACAAATCCTCCAGATTTTCCTCCAGAATCAACAATCCTCCAAAAACGAAATTTGTCCGCAAATAGAGTTCAAAATCCTCCAGATTTGCGGAAATCCTCCAAATCTGGCAGCACTGGCATGCGGCGAATTGGGACATTTTGCGACAGTCTGGCGCCAGGGAGTCAGCGCCACAGATGGGGCTTCGGACCACGCCGTCGCTGCCCCGGCAGCCGTCGTCGCGCCGGGCCTCGCCGGCGGCGCGCAGCAGCCAGCGAGCGCAGTACGGACGCGACATTAAGCAGGTCATCGCTGACATCCATATCAGCGGAGTCTGCACCCGCCCGGCGCCCACGGTCAATGTCCAGCTGATCCATCAGACCGGGAGCAGCACGCTGGAGTGCACGCCGGACACGGGAGCCGAGGCGACGGTCATGGGTGACGCTGTGGCTCGGTCGCTCGGCATCGCCCTCTCCCGCCTACAGACCGACCACCGAGCCAAATTCACCGCCGTTGGACGCCGTCCGCTCGACTGTCTCGGGGCGTTCAGCGCGACGCTGCGGCTGGGTGACCGCTTCGTCGACGTCACCGTCTGCGTCATCAGCGGACTGACGGGGACGCTCATAAGTTGGTTTGATTCAGTCGTCCTGGGGATTTTGCCAGCCAACTTCCCTGCGCAGATTCCGGACGTGAGACCAGAAGCAGCTGTTGTTGTTGTTGTGTGTTCCCTCCAGCCGCGTCACCGCGGTGTAGCCGTGCGGCTCTGGAGGTCCCTCACGGCGGCCGCCAGGGCCGCCACCTCTCCGTCGTCGCGGACGTCTTCCGGGTTCGGGAAAATCGTCCCGTACCTCCGGAGACGCCAGCCCATAAGGGCCGGGCACCGGAAGAAGAAGTGCCGGGGCGTGTCGGCCTCCTCCCGGCACACGGTGCACAGGCCCGCCGCACAGTCGGTGTCAGGGCACTGGCGGCAATCATCGGAAGGGTTCCGTCCAATCCGGTGAAGGTATTGGCGGGATCCTGACCAGTGTCAGGATCCAGATTCCAGAAGCAGCTCGGGAGGTGACGCCATCTACGATGACTGATTCGTCGACGGTGGCGCCCCTGGCGGCAGCCGTCGGCGATGCCGGGCCGCCGCCGCAGCCGAGCGGGGCCGCCGCCGCCCACGGAGCTGGGCCGCCGCCGCCGCTCACGGACACTGGGCGGGCGAGGTGTCCTGCGGCACAGCCTACCCAGCCGAGCGGCGCCGCCGCCGCCCACGGAGCTGGGCTGCCGCCGCCGCTCGCGGACACTGGGCGGGCGAGGTGTGCTGCGGCACAGCCTACCCAGCCGAGCGGAGCCGCCGCCGCCCACGGAGCTGGGCCGCCGCCGCCGCTCGCGGACACTGGGCGGGCGAGGTGTGCTGCGGCACAGCCTACCCAGCCGAGCGGAGCCGCCGCCGCCCACGGAGCTGGGCCGCCGCCGCCGCTCGCGGACACTGGGCGGGCGAGGTGTGCTGCGGCACAGCCTACTCAGCCGAGCGGGGCCGCCGCCGCCCACGGAGCTTCGCCGCCACCGGTGCACAGTGGGCCGATATGCCATTCTAGCGCGACAGGGCCTGAATCTTCGAACGGAACCCTCGGTTTTTCCCGAGTAATTCGCGTAAAAAGCGGCCGATCGCAACGAAACTTTCAGTACCCTCGCGATAATTAATTTCGCAGCTAACTTGAAAATTTCATGACCCTGACCTTAATGATCTTTGATCTGTGACCTTCTTTCGAGACCATGTTTGGCCGGAATCGCGATTCAGCGTATGTCGGCTCGCATTAGCCGCGACTTTGCAGTCTTTTCGTGGTTTAAAGCGTTCAAGCATGGAGTATTATGTTGCTCCCATGCATTAGGGTGGGTGTCAAGGTCACCGGAAGGTCAGGTAAGGTCATTGACCTTTGATGACCTTGGGTCAATTTTTCGAGTTTTACATGTTTCTAGGCTAGTTTTTGGAGCTGAATTCGAATCTAGCAACCATTTGAACATTTGCTATGTAGCTTTGGTGCCTTCGTAACATGTTACGAAGCTGTCAGAGGCGGTTGCCACCTACTACAAATACCCGGCAAAACCCTTACTGGTTGACCTGACCTGACCTGACCCGACCTGGCCTAAATGTATGAAGACATCATCTATGACCATAAATAACATTATCTTCGTGATCAGCACCCAAAAAACCCATAGCAGCCACCCTTTACGACGTTCTAACTGGTCCCAATTTTCCCGACTTTTGGGTCATTAACCTGACCTGGAAGATCAACCGATGACCTAGGGCCTTACAAATGGGTATCATCAGCTTTCTCTTGTCACGGGCAACACGCTCGTCTTTTCCGGGAAGCTCTTGCTCGACCAGGGGCGAAACGGCAGGGGGTCAAACGGAACCCTTCTATACGTTCGCGGCTGGAAAAACACCACTAGGGGCGAGGGTTAAGCCAAATCTGAGAACTTATTTCAGAAAGACCGCCAAAAGAGCAATTGAATGCACTTTTCCGCGACGATGTAGCTCTATTGGTCCCCGAGGTAAGGGCCGGTGTTTCGAGAAATGTTGTTATATGCAACATTTTACCTTTGATGACCTCTGGTGAAGTGACCTTTGACCTGACCTAGAAATGACTAATTATGCTATCTGGAATTTCGGGCGCTCTTTCGAATGCCACTTACTACGTGTCTCTATGTGGCCCAGGAGCCGAGTTAGAAGGGGAGTGTTCAATCAACGCCTCCCGGCCCGGCGCGTTTGACGCCGAGCACCGGTCCGGCGCGGGTTGATGTTTGGCTGCTACATCCCAAGTCGCAAAAAGTCGCAAGAAATGACTGTTGGATCTTGTAGTGCAATGACTCATTGACATGTAGCGAGATTTTCGAAGCGGTTCTTTGCGGTCCTTTTTTTTAGAAGTCTATTTGTGTGTGACATCAATTATGTGAAATTATATTTTCATCTTTAAATCTTTGTGGTACAAATACATCATAACCAAGTAAGAGTTCGCCATTTTCATGTGGTTATGTGTGTTCTGCAGACCCGGAGCTATCGTTTAATGTATATAAATGTGGAATTCCTCCTCAAATTGTGATTGTTTTCGTGGATCAAAGATACGATGTCGAAGAGTGCGGGGGACGAGTTCGGTCCAAACGATTCCGAAGTTCGTGTTTAAGCTGAGTTTTCGCCATGAAATAGCAATTGTGTTGGAAAACAAAGACCACAGCAATGTAGTATGATCATTTTTGAACAAATTAGTATAGGTTTCATTGCACATCCACAAAGTTCGATTTTCTTACCCATGTCGTGCTAGACCTGGCGATCGGCCCAGTGTGCGGTGGGAGGCCTGCCGACATGGGACGAGGACGGGGACCCGTCCGAGGAGCTCATAGCAGCTCATGCAGCCGCGATCGCGGCTCACTACCCTCGGGTATTCAGCGCTGAAGGCCCGCTGCGAGAGATGGACGGAGGCCCGATGGTGATCGAGCTGCGCGAGGATGCGACTCCGACAGCTGTCACCGCCGCCCGTCCGGTCCCATACGCCTGGAGAGCGGACATCAAAGCTCAGCTCGATGAACTACAGGCCCGAGGCGTCATCGCACCAGTCGACTACCCCACGGAGTCGACGACCGTCCGGAGTGCGACTGTGTGTGGACCTGACCCGGCTGAACCGGTTTGTGAAGAGGCCCACCTACCCAGTGCGACCGCCGCACGACGCTGTAGTAGGTATCCCGGCTGGCAGTCGCTGGATGACGACGCTGGACGCCGCCATGAGGTACTTCCAGGTACCGCTCGCCGAGCCGTCCCAGGACCTAACATGCTTCATCACGCCCTGGGGGCGCATGAAGTTCCTCCGGGCGCCGCAGGGGTGCGTGTCCGCCGGCGATGAGTACAACCGGCGTGGTGACATGGCCCTCGGCGACATTCCGAATACGGTGAAGGTCGTGGACGACCTGCTGGCATACGACGCCACCTACCGGGACCACCTGGCGCACATCATAGCCGTGGTACAGCGCTGTGACGAGTGCGGCATCACACTGAACCCCAAGAAGTTTGTGTTCGCCAGACACGAGGTGAACTACTGCGGCTACCGCATCACACCGGACGGCTACACCTCCGACGGAGAGAAGCTCAGAGCCATCGCCGATTTCCCCAGGCCTGAGAACGTGACCGTTCTGCGGTCGTTCATGGGACTGACCAACCAGCTCGGTGGTCTGTCGTCGGAGCTCGCCCACGCCGCCCAGCCGCTGCGAGACCTCCTGAAGGCGCGCCACCTCTGGTGCTGGACAGCACAGCACGAGGCGGCCTTCTTACGGGTCAAGTCGGTGCTCGCCGCGCCTCCCGTGATGGCGTTCTTTGATCCGAGCCTGCCGACCATGCTACAGACGGACGCCGCTCGGACCAAAGGCCTCGGATTCGCGCTGCTCCAGCGACACGGCGACACCTGGCGGCTGGTGCACTGCGGCTCCCGGTTCCTGACGGACACGGAGTCACGGTACGCCGTCGTGGAAATCGAGCTGGCCGCCGTGCTGTGGGCGTGCCGGAAGTGCCACATCTACCTCGCCGGCCTGCCGTACTTCACACTGGTCGTGGACCACCGGCCACTGGTCCCGATCTTGAACCAAAAGCAGCTGAGCTAGATCGAGAATCCCCGGCTGCAGCGGATGCGAGAGAAGCTGACGCCGTATTCCTTCACTGCCAGCTGGCAGAAAGGATCCGACCACCGCATACCGGATGCGCTGTCACGCGCTTCAACCAGCGACCCGACCGCCGACGATGAGGTTTCAGAGGACGCGGCGGACCCGCTCTACGCAGCTGTAATCGCAGCTCTGCACGCTGAGCGGGCGTCCGAGGACGGTGCGCGGCTAGCGCCGCTCGTGGACCCCAGTCTGGAGAGAATCCGAGCCGCCGCCGACCGCGACCCTGAGTACGAGTCCCTGCGAGAGGCAGTCTTGCATGGATTCCCGGAGCACCGGCACGAGGCGCCACCCGCCGTCCGCCCATACTGGGGCGTGCGGAGCATGCTGGCGCTGGACGGCGGTCTGATCGTCCACGGCCCTCGACTGGTGATCCCGCCAGCCTCCGACGCGACGTCCTCAACCGTCTGCACCAGTCACACCAGGGGATCGAGAGGACGAAACGCCGTGCCCGTCTCTGTGTGTACTGGCCGGGCGTCGACCGTGACGTCACCAACGTGGTGTCGTCCTGCCCGCGCTGCCCGCAGTTGGCGGCGAGCCACGCTAACGAGCCGCTGTGGCAGGAGGACGACCAGCCGAGCCGGGTGTTTGAGTCGGTTTCGGCAGACTATTTCCACGTCGCCGGCCGGACGTACCTGGTCTACGCCGATCGACTGTCCGGCTGGCCGTACATCTTCACCTGCCCGAGGACAGCATCGGCCGAGCACCTGACTCGGGAGCTGCGTGCGCTGTTCGCACAGACTGGAGTCCCGACGGTTCTCCGTACGGACGGCGGACCGCAATTCACGTCGGAAACTCTGCGCCGTTTCCTGATCCGATGGGAGGTGCGCCACGTCATCTCGTCGCCGCACTACCCGCGGTCAAACGGCCACGCCGAGGCGGCTGTCAAGGCAGCAAAGAAGCTCGTCATTACGGTCTCCATGGGCGGCCAGCTGGACGAGGAGCTGCTGAGCCGGGGCCTGCTGGAGCTGAGGAACACGCCGCGCGCAGACGGCCGATCACCGGCACAGGTGTTGTTCGGACACCCGATCCGGTCGGGCGTGCCCACGCACCACCACGCGTTCGCGCCCGAGTGCAAGCGCGCCGCCGCCGAGTGCGAACTGAAAGCCGCTGTAACCCGGGAAGCGGTCACACGCCGCCACGACGCGACAGCGCGCCCGCTGTCGCAGCTCAACATCGGCAGCCGGGTCGACATCCAGGACACCGATAGCGGCCGCTGGGACCGCCCCGGTGTCGTGGTGGGGATCGGCCGGCGCCGCACCTACCTGGTGAAGACGGGCAGCGGGCGGCTGTACTGGAGGAACCGGCGGTTCCTGCGGCCGTACCGACCCTGCTGGACACTGCAGCGCCACACGCCGCCAGTCCGCCCCGCACGACAGCAGCCGCGCCTGCCGCAGCCCCAGCAGCACCAGCGGAGACGATCTCTGCCGCCGCGGGAGCAGCACCGAGCGCGCCGCCGTCGCCGCAGGCCGCGCCGCGCCGCAGCGGCCGCGTGCACCAGCCCCCCAGGCGCCTGTCCGTGCGCTGGGGTGGCGCCACGTACTGCCAGTAGTGGCCTTGTGCGCCCAGACCCGGGACGGTCTGTTTTGGGATGGTGCCAGTGAAGACGATGTGATCGTCTTGAGGGGAGATGTTGTGTTGCGATCCAGCCCCCGCACGGCTGCTGGCCGTGCCGGCGCGCGCCTCTGCCACTCACACCGCTGGCCGTCCCAGCTCGGCGCCTGCAAGCGCCTCTGCCGCCGCCAGCTGACGGTGCGCGCCGAGCGGCACGGCTGGCGCGGGTGACGAGGGGCGGCGCACGCCATACTTGTTGTCTTTTGTGTATCACTTGGCCTCGCTCGGATCACGGTCCAATAAATCGCTTTAGTTCTCATTATTCCTCTCTCACTCTCAACCGACGAAAAGAAACAAAACAACCATATAAGGGAAAAACGAGTGTACATTTTGTCATCCTTGCTCGGCATTGATAGCGTCCTCCTGAGCCGAAATTGGCGCCCTCCTGACCCAAAATTGGCGCCCTCCTGACCCGAAATTGGCGCCCTCCTGAGCCAAAATTGGCGCCCTCACCAATTCTAGCCCCCTCCAAAAAAATTCCTGGCTGCGCCCCTGCTTGCCATCGATGTTTCGTGCATTGTATTGTGGAAATTGACAGCCCTCTATTGCGCTCTCCGGCCCGCCTAGGCGGAGTCGTTGAGAGCCAACGCCGACTAGCGACCAAGGCATTTGTACCGGTGCACACTGGGCCGGTCGCCAGGTCTAGCACGACATGGGTAAAAAATCGAACTTTGTGGATGTGCAATGAAACCTATACCAATTTGTTCAAAAATGATCATACTACATTGCTGTGGTCTTTGTTTTCCAACACAATTGCTATTTCATGGCGAAAACTCAGCTTAAACACGAACTTCGGAATCGTTTGGACCGAACTCGTCCCCCGCACTCTTCGACAACGTATCTTTGATCCACGAAAACAATCACAATTTGAGGAGGAATTCCACATTTATATCCATCAAACGATAGCTCCGGGTCTGCAGAACACACATAACCACATGAAAATGGCGAACTCGTACTTGGTTATGATGTATTGGCACCGCAAAGATTTAAAGACGAAAATATAATTTCACATAATTGATGTCACACACAAATAGACTTTTAAAAAAAGTACCTCGGAGTACCGCTTCGAAAATCTCGCTACATGTCAATGATTCATTGCACTACAAGATCCAACAGTAATTTTTTGCGACTTTTTGCGACTTTGGATGTACCAGCCAAACATCAACCCGCGCCGGACCGGTGCTCGGCGTCAAACGCGCCGGGCCGGGAAATGTTGATTGAACACTCCCCTTCTAACTCGGCTCTTGGGCCACATAGCGACACGTAGTAAGTGGCATTCGAAAGAGCGCCCGAAATTCCAGATGGAGTAACTAGTCATTTCTAGGTCAGGTCAAAGGTCACGTCACCAGAGGTCATCAAAGGTAAAATGTTGCATATATCAACATTTCTCGAAAGCCGGCCCTTACCTCGGGGACCAATAGAGCTACATCGTCGCGGAAAAGTGCATTCAATTGCTCTTTTAGCGGTCTTTCTGAAATAAGCCCTCACATTTGGCTTAACCCTCGCCCCTAGTGGTGTTTTTCCAGCCGCGAACGTATAGAAGGGGTCCGTTGGACCCCCCCCCGCCGTTTCGCCCCTGATCAAGCTAGAGCTTCGCGGAAAGGACGAGCGTGTTGCCCGTGACAAGAGGAAGCTGATGATACCCAATTGTAAGGTCCTAGGTCATCGGTTGACCTTCCAGGTCAGGTCAATGACCCAAAAGTCGGGAAAATCGGGACCTGTTAGAACGTCGTAAAGGGTGGCTGCTATGGGGTTTTTGGGTGCTGATCACGAATATAATGTTATTTACGATTATAGATGATGTCTTCATACATTTAGGCCAGGTCGGGTCAGGTCAGGTCAGGTCAACCAGTAAGGGTTTTGCCGGGTATTTGCAGTAGGTGGCAACCGCCTCTGACAGCTTTGTAACATGTTACGAAGGCACCAAAGCTACATAGTAAATGTTCAAATGGTTGCTAGATTCGAATTCAGCTCCAAAAACTAGCCTAGAAACATGTAAAACTCGAAAAAGTGAACCAAGGTCATTAAAGGTCATTGACCTTACCTGACCTTCTGGTGACCTTGACACCCACCCTAATGCATGGGAGCAACATAATATCCCATGTTTGAACGCTTTAAACCAAGAAAAGACTGCAAACCCGCGGCTAATGCGAGCCGACATACGCTGAATCGCGATTCCGGTCAAACATGGTCTAGAAAGAAGGTCACAGGTCAAAGATCATTAAGGTCAGGGTCATGAAATTTTCAGGTTAACTGTAAAAGTAGTTATCGCGAGGGCCCTGAAAGTTTCGTTGCGATCGGCCGCTTTTTACGCGAATTACTCGCGAAAAACCAAGGGTTCCGTTCGAAGATTCAGGCCCCGTCGCGCTAGAATGGCATATCGGCCCACTGTGCGGTGGTCACCGGGTGCCCCTCCCCAACGCCCTTCCCTTTACCTCCTACACATTATATTAAACAACTGTAGGGGTTTTCCCCTGAGCTCTTTGGCTTCAGCGCGGGGTTTTTGCCCTTTGCGATAGGCGTCAGGGTTTTTGTTATTTAGGATTTGTCCTTGACCAACACACCCCACATCAGTACACTGACACCCTTTCACAAGTGTATGAATCTGTAAATAAATGTAACAAGTGTCTGCGTCTGTGTTTTGTTCCGGCTTTTTCGGCACTTTGGCTAAAATTAAGTACTCCAATAAGATTTGCTCACACATACTAAGGTTAGGCTCCCACGTTGCTATTGCTTCCGGGTTCACATAAACCGGCTTAATGTAAAACTTGGTTCCTGGCCAAAATTGCCAGATGTAATGACCCCCGGCTCCAGACTGGCTTTAGAGTTTAGGCTGGCGGAGCAAAAAAGAAAAAAAGAAAGAGCGGCCATATCGGGGGCACACCCACGAGGGATTTACGAAAGGCCTGGCGTTTTGAAGTAAATTCTTCAACGTTTTGGATCAGTTAGGGGACAGAGCGCTGACGCTTCCGTTTATCGTTATCGTCCACAATGACCTCGTCGATCGTGAAAACGTCACCCTGTACTGGACTGGTCATCCTTGGATCCAGACAAACTCGGCTCGCCCCTGGTGTATCCAGCTCACTCACCGGAAAAAAAAACAGAATCACTGCTGCGGGTGAACCGACCAGTCGCGCTAGTTCACAAATTAGCTTCTCTGATTCATTCACTCTGAATTCCGAATAAACTGAATTTTGGTAAGGGGCTCTTATTTCAGTCACATCACCACTGCACAGAACTTGCGAGACGCTAGAGGCCAATCATGGCTGCGCGAAGATGGGAAAATACTAAATGCATGGTCTACACAAGGTGCGACTTAAAGTGCGACTTGAAATAAATAGAAAGAGGTAAATTGCAAATTGTATTGTGAAAAATAAAACATAATTAGCTGACAGGGAGTAAAAGATCTTTCCCAAGCCAAGCTTCCTTTGACAATACACACACAGAGGAAATGCAGAGTGCGACAAGACACAAATGATATCTTTATTTAAAGAAAAAGCCATAGCATACAATACATATAGCATAAGCAACAAGCATAAACAGCCTCTGGAAAATAATTTAAGGACATCATGGCCATTCCTCATTCCTCTGCCAAACCAATTCCATTCCGCGTGAATTTTTCCCATTTCTTTGTACGAGTATTTTTCATAGTTTTCTTTACAGCAGTCAAGGTAGATAGTTTTCAGAATTAAGCAGTAAACAAAGAAGAATTTCATTGTTTTTTGGAAGCCCATTCCGACCACATCGATCTCTAAAAGACGATCTCTAAAACTGCTCACAGCGATTGAGCGAGCCCAGCACTCTGACGCTGACTTCATTCGGTGGGCAAAACTTTATACGGGTTCAGGATACCTTGCGGGTCCATGGCGTGCTTTAGCGTCTTCATGAGACGTAGGGCGACCGGCGTCTTGTTCAGATGGAGAAGGTTGCGCTTTTTGAAGCCGATGCCATGTTCAGCGCTAATGCTGCCACCGTTCTTGGCAGTCCACTCGAACAGGTGAGGCTCAATGGCTGCTTCCAGCTCCGCGTCGAAACGTGGCGCAGTCACATTCAGATGGATGTTCCCGTCGCCTACCGAATACAGAGAAATGTCAATCAAGCCACCCGTTCATCCTGGGCTGCAACTGCAACCGCGCTGCTTGTTCTGTTGGCTTGTCGCCATATGGAAATATATAATATGTATAGAACGAGGCCGGTGCAAATAAATTTTCAAGGCCGACTCAGCCTGGAAACTCAAACTCGGCTTTCGGCCTCGTTCAAAGATCATTAACTCACGCCCCGCTGGGGGTCCTGGATTTCGACGCCCTGCTGGGGGGGGGGGGGTTGAACAACCCCCTTCTAACTCGACTCCTGAGCCACGTAGCGATACGCGGAAGGCGGCGTTCGAAAGAGCGCAAAAAATGACGAAAACACTTCAGTACACTTTGGTCACTTTTTTGGTCAGGTCTAAGGTCAGGTCACCAGAGGCCAGTGAAGGCAAAATTTCGACGATTTTCAGGTCGAATGTCAACAATTTCCAAGAAGCCAACGCATAACTCGGGAACACATAGAACTAGAGTGTCGCGCAAAATCGCATTCGATAGCCCTATTAACGCCCTTTTCTGAGTATTGTTTCAGATTTGACCTAGCGTGAAGCGTCAACGGTTTTGCCTGCAGGGCAGGGGCGGTGTCACGGATTTTTGATAGGGGGGACGGATTGACTGACCGAAACCCCTAAAAGACTGTCTTCCCGATTTCTGCCCTGTGTACTACAAATTGTTACCACCACTACGACACCGCAATTAAGCACACTGCAGTGCTAGCACAATGGAATTTAACCAAATAACGCACCTTATATCATATACGCAGACTTCAATTTTTTTAAGGCGTTAGTTCTTTAGAAACAGCTTTTGACGAACCGAGCCGCACATGTTTTGGTTGATATCCCCACAGAGCAAATATTCACGCCGTACACTTAGGCCTCTGTTGCAGAAAAATTCCAGCAAAAGAACCAGTCGGGGGCAGGTGCAGTGGTCTGGACCCAGCTCGACGATACCGTCATGGATTGCGTGGGTATGTTACTTTCAGCCTTCAGATGTAACGGTACATAGTAGTATTAAATATTTTTTATGCATTGTCTTTGGAGGGCTTAAACAAAAGATCAGACATGTCCGAGCTAAGCTCTTTTTCTCCTGTGTTAGTGTGTTAGAAGCTATCGTGACAAAAAAAGAAAACCTTTGGGACGGCACCCCTTCCCAGACCCAAGGGATTAACATCGTAAGCATGAGGCAAAAGGGCGCCAAGATCCGCTGTCTCTTACATCCCTTTGTTTTTTTTCACTCCGGCAGGCAGAGACAACTACCTGACGTCGTTTAAGGTTCCTGGCGGGATTACCTGGGGCCAGATGATGACGAATCAGCAAGAAGCCGGCCCAGAAACCGCACTGACAACCGCGGGAGAAACGTCATCAGCACCCAGTATCTACTTCACTACAGAAGACGGTCGGTTGATAGGGCTGGGCACGCCGCTCGCCCAGTCTCCGGCGACCAATGCGACCACGATAACCACCACGGTCCTCTCGACCGTCCCCTCGACCAGGGCAGGCTCGTCAAACGCAACAACCCCTTCGACTGGTCCGCCCCAGGAAAGCGCCATGGCTCTCTCGTCCGGCAAGGCCTCGTCAGCTGACGCAGCCCCTTCGACTGGTCCGTCCCACTCCCAGGGGAGCGCCACGGCTCTCTCGACCGGCGAGGCCTCGTCAGCTGACGCAGCCCTCCCGACTGGAGCGTCCCAGGAGAGCGTCACGGCTCGGGCTCTCTCGACCGGCGAGGCCTCGTCAGCTGACGCAGCCCTCTCGACTAGAGCGTCCCAGGAGAGCGCCACGGCTCTCTCGACCGGCGAGGCCTCGTCAGCTGACGCAGCCCTCTCGACTGGTGCGTCCCAGGCATCGGAGAGAAACCGCGATGAGATTGAAGCGCGCCTCCAGCTCATCCGCTCAACGCCACTCTTTAGACGGACGCCGGAGGAGGTGACCCTTCTCCGCACCTACCTCAGCTTACAGATCCTGGAGGACCTGCTGCAGGGAGGAACTCCCAGACCAACCCTGACATATGTGCTATGAGCAGGGCTGCGGAACCGCAGCTAGAGCTGGATCCGGAGCCGCCGGAGCCGGCATCTTTTGCCCGGAGATGGAGGCGGAGCCGGAGCTGTCGAAGTTGGTGGCGACTCCGGCTAAATTTGTTTGTTTTGTTTTTAAGGAAAAGGTTAACTTAATTAGTTCGGTTTGACAGTACGGACAGTAAAACATGTACGTACGTCATGGGCCATCACGTGAATGAAATTCGCCTCAAATATATTATTCCTTTCTTGTGAAGGAAATAAACCATTTTAAGAAGTAATTAGTTTCAAGCTTCCTCTTCATGGTTCTGGCTTGGACTGAATCGTATGTCACATGAATTGTAAATGAACACCTAACCATTACACATGGTAGGTACAGAAGTTTCACTCAAAGGTCAAACATAAACACACTGTCAATCGCAAATACCTTACAAAAAGGCTAGCAACCATCAAACATGTTTTTATTTGCTGCTCTCCCTCTCCCTTTCGCTCCCTCTCCCGCTCGCTCCCTACACCCCTCGCTCCCTCTTCTCTCCCTTTCCCCAAGCGTATACAAATACACAAACACTCAAGCACACGTACAGTCTGTCTTAAAAGTACCGCGCAAAGTGACGGCGGATCCATCAAGCCTGACCAAGGAAGGGCCTGCTAAAGTTGAGTCACCGAAGCAATTGACATCCTCATCCATTCCCAAGTCAATTGGTTCGGTGACTTTCAAATTATAGCAGGCCCCAGGTCTAGGTTAGGCTTGATGGATCCACCGTCACTTTGCGCGGTACTTTTAAGACAGACTGTACATAGCCATAGGCCACTGGCCATGAGTAGACGACTCTGCTGTCGCCTAGCTGCGGTTGGCCCGAGTATCGACCAGCTAATGGCGTACGAACAGCCGCACGAGGTCATTGCGGCGCACAAGACCCGCCCGCCTCTCGGCGCCTGCCGCCGGCAGCTCTGCCGCCCCGTCAGCTGGCTCCTGCACCATTCCTTCATCTTGCCTCAGTGGTCCGAGCCATTCGCCGAAGTCACCGCCCTTGATACACATATTGTGTAGGATAAAGCACGTGTGGATAACCGCCACGCAGCGGGCCACACTTTTCAGGCGCAGCCCGAACTCGAGCGCCCCGAACCGCATTTTCAAAACGCCGAAGGCGTTCTCCACCACCACACGAGTGCGCGCATGAGCGGTATTAAATGCGCGCTCCTCGGCGGTGGTGGGGTCTGCAATGGGCGTCATGAGCCAGGGTGGCAGGCCGTAGCCACTGTCCCCCAGCATCATGCCGCCCATTACAGGATTTCCATTCCTGAAATAGTCGGGCAGCCCTGATGTGGCTAAAACTCGGGCGTCGTGCACCCGACCGCCACAATGCACGCTCAATGCAACGATTGAGCGGTCGGGTGCAGCGACAGCCATCACATTGAGGGACGGGAAGCCTTTCCTATTGATATACGCCTCCCGCTGCTCTCGGGGGACGGTGAAGCGTACATGGGTGCCGTCGATGCACCCCACGATGTCGGGCAGCCCGGCGACCTGTCGAAAGTCCTCCTTGAGACGTCCGAGAGCCGCCGGGTCGCTCGGCCAGGTGATGACCCCTGGGCAGCGGTGGATTATCGCATCCGTCACGCGGTGAATGGCGAGGCACACGGTGGCCTCGGAGACGCCGTGGCCGTCTCCCACCAGGCGCAGATACGCACCGGTAGCATAGAACCGCAACGACACGAGCAGCTGCTGGCGAGGTGTCAGTGCCATATTTAAGCCCGTGTCGTGCGCCACCGTCCCGCTAATGAGGTCTTCCAGTGCAGTGGCGACCTCGACGCTGAGGCGGAAGTTTTCCCTAAAGAGAAACGGGATTTAAGGTTATATAAAGCTTTCGAATGAATACAATGACACTCTTGATATGCGGCATACAGGCACCCATGCACATTAAGTAGTCACCTGAATGTCGTTGGATGCAGTGCTCCCATGTTGATGCGCGGACGGGGCCTCCGCTGGCGGCGCTCCCGAGGCTCAAAATTGTCATCATCGGCCATAGTCAATCCGGCAATGCATAGGCGTTATCTGGAAGCAACATGCATAAGATGGTTTTGATCCGTGGTCGGCACCATTTAAAAGCATGGCTTGCGGACACAAGTGGGTACACCTACACATCGCAATGTTTTTTTTACGGCACATGTACATCAGCAACTATGACTATGACAAAACTGCGTATCACACATGTAAGTAGGTAATTGCACAATGTACATAATCCTTAACCCGCGCATGACTGGGATATTTTCCATAACGCGAGTGGCTGGAGACGGGGGGGGGGCGACTCTACAGAGCCCCCCCCCCCCTCCTTATCTCCGAAACTAGGTACTGGGCCGATCGTCAAAATTCAAACGGCCTCTGATAGCCCTGGTAAAACTGACGAGCGAAACCTAATTTCATTGACCTCGAGGACTCAGAGGGGCCCTAGTGGTCAGATACAGACACTAGCAGTTATTCACAGGAGGCACCAGCCGCCAGGTGAAGGATCTTATCTGTCAGGCTGGTTTTTGGAGTGGTTTGGAGTGTTTTTTTTTTTTAATTTTCAACATATGTTTTGGGTCTCCCCCCTCTCTACAGGGGAGCGTACGAGACCGTCTTTATCTATCTGCCAACGCTTTTGTCCGCGAATATAGAGGTCAACAATGCTGTGGCTCCCGAGTGCCCTTCTAGCGCGACACCTATATGAAATGTAGAGAGACATCTAACGGCTGTTCCCACTTCCCACTCCGCAGTGGAATGGCCATCGCCCCGTCATAGGCGGATTCATGCGGGCCGTGGCCGAACATGACGGGACTAGCGACTAGCCCCTTCCATTAGAAATTAATTAGTTGCAGAACGTGATATGTTTATAACAAAACGAGTGACTGAGGACGTTTTAGAGTGAAGCTGTTTATCAAATTACATAGAGTAGCAAATGTAAGCAAATTACAAAGAGTTTCGGCTTTTTTGGCCCCTGCCTGACGGCTGACTGACAACGCCACTGCATGAATATCGATAACAAAGTTGTTGCTCGTCAACAAATAAAATTGAAATACATGTTACAAAAAATATAAACAACTCAAAAACATGTGGCTTCTACCAGCAACATGAACATTGAAAAAAGCGCAAAATTTTAAATGCCTATTTATACTAGTTATTTGCTCCATCGATAGCTTGGAAGAGTTTATTTCTCTACGACGGGGGGAAATAACGCGGTCTGGCGCAGTTAGCGCGCGAATTGTTGGGGTCCATTTCCACGTGGCGCGAGTCGAGGCCATTGAAGTTGAGAATCGGTATATTTGGTGGATTCAAGGGCATGTGTTACTAAATAAAATTTCCCCATGGCTGGGAAATTCACATCTGTGTATAAGGGTCACAAAAGCCATCTTTCGTGATTGACTGTGAGAAGGTAAGGTAAGGGAAGGGGAGATAATGGCAGCTCAAGCTGGAATGATACCTATGCATAGTGCACAAGTGATTCCAGGCAAAATTTAACATGGGCAAAGCTTCGTAAATCATATTACTGTTTTTAACCAGAAGAAATAAAACAAGTCTCAGATGAAATCCCTCTGTTGCACCCTAGGCTAAGAATTAAATAAAAACCTGTATTTCACGACACAAACCACGTCAACCTAGAAAAATGTTCATAAAATACGTTCTTTTAAGTGACTGCATTGGGTGGTGCTGAATTCAAGTTTAGTTGGTGCGAGCTAGAGCACATCAGTAACAAGTGCCGATTTAAAAGTTCTGTAAAATTATTGATAGTGCTCCACAAGGCCACTTTCTTCAAAAGCCCTGTTGATGAAAATATAATTTTACTAGCCAGTCATTCACATGGGTCCGAGAAATTGACCTGGGATCTGAATTATGTTCTTAAACTCTAATACCACTGATCTTGATCTCACCTACAATAGGATCACAATCATGTACCTATCCGTAGGTGGAACTATGGTCATGAGTACCCAAATATAGGAACGTTCCCATTTTTGGGAACGCAGTTCCCAAATATGGGAACGGGCGTTCCCATTTATGGGAACGGGCGTTCCCATTTATGGGAACGGAAGGTAATTTTTCGGCCGTTCGCCCACTAAAACTCATTAGTGCATCACGTCTCAAAAAAGTGCACGCTAATTTAAGTATGTACTAAATCTCTATAAAATTATCTTTAATCTGACCGTTGAACAATGAAATTGACCGTCGAATGATATTTTTAATGATTTTTTGAAATGACGGAATGGTGAAAACATGGGTTATACTACATTTAACATGCAATTTTAAGGAAAATGAAGCGTTTTTTACATTTTGAGGTCAAGTATAATAATTTTCGCCTGGTTATGAAGTTTCATACTAGCGACACTAGATGCTGAAATATGCAAGCGAACACGCGGACAGTCCCGAGATAATATTGTTGACATTTGGTGTCGAGGCGGACGACTGCGTGGGACGTCAGTGATTTTACCGAACTACTGTTGTAAACTCAGTTTAAGTGGTTAAAAATTATTCAGCTGTATTTTATCAGCCCGGAAAGACATATTTTATTTGGATGCTAGCTGTTTAGCGTTGTTTTATGAGGAGCGTCATGAGCGTGGTTTTTGTTTTCCGTGTTTCTAAGCATGATCGTTTTGGGGAAATTTCTCTTATATAGGTCGCTCTGTGTGGCTTATTTATAATTTTTATGCTGATTTCGATCATTCCTCGTGCCCATCCTACCAGGCCTTTTGCCACTTACACTCATTAAGAAAGGAAAAAACTAGATTGTCATTGGGACTAGGTGTTTTGAGGGTGTAACATATTCAGCGTTCCCATTTTTGGATACTTCCTTGTGCTCGTCAACTATCGGTGATAAACAGACAGGTGCTTGACATGTCTCCACCCTCGGCGCGGACGGTGGATATAGGTATGGAAGACCTTGTTGAGCATCGCTGAGCGTTGTGAATTACATAATCCTGCAGAGGGGGGCGTGCCCGCTGCGAGATCGACGGGAATAAAAGCGCAGAAGACCGGGCGAAACATGCAACGGTCTTGCCGGAAAGGTCATCTGATAATTGTTGCGTAAACAATAATTTGCGGCGTTGGACGTGATGCTTGTTAATGAAAAGAGCCCCTGAAAGGCGTCGGTGAAATCGTTCCCAATTTTGGGTACGCCGTTCCCATAATAAGGAACGCTTGCAGCGCCAGTGTACGAGAGCGTTCCCAAATTTGGGCTCGTGGCCCGGATGATGGACTGCTTTAGAAATAGGGGAACGATTTGAAACTACGATGGGCCTTACAATATCAAACTCTTTCCCAACAATATTGAGACAAATATCAGGCGGTTCACGATCGTTTTATATTTTTTGGACGTCATTTAACGGTTCTTTTTCTTGTTTTAAATAATGCCTACATGGCGTTCCCATATTTGGGTTTATCGTTCCCAAACATGGGAACGAAAATGCGTTCCCGAAAATGGGTACGCTTGACCATAGTTCCGCCTACTGAGTTACCTACCTATATAATTTGTTGATGGTTTCATTGGTATCATACATCATTACCTCTGTCGGTACTCTCTCTTTGTGGCCATATAATCATAATAGGATCATTTGTGGCAATTTATATTAGGTGTTTCAGGGATATTGTGTGATTACACATAGCAATTTACATAGGCGGCGGAACGGGGAGGCGGTGTTTCATTTTTCAGTCTTTTTGGTGGCAAATCACACCTAATGGGGAAAATATTTTCATCCCTAAAATATGAATGACCGACTTTACTTCATCTCTGAAAAGAGTTGCATGTAGGTATTCCCAACAGCCAGTTCACATGTCACTTGACAGTGATGCACCCACATCCTTTTGTTCCACACCCTGTCAAGATCCTGACATGAAATCCTGGTTTATCAGTTAGCATAAAAATTGGCATTACACCATTTTGCAAAAATACTGCAGTTACTTACTTTCTTTTTTCTCATCCTAGGATTTTTTTCTTCATCGGCACACCCAACCAATACCCAATTTTAGAACACTGCGGGGAGGGCACCTTGGCACCGTGGCCCCCTTTGATTTTGGCATTTTAACATTAGCCCTATGGGCATTGCATGGAAAGAATGAGACCAAAAGTCAGCAGTGCCCCCCCCCCCTAACTGAAGGTGTTCCGCCACTACTTTCAATTTATAGTTTTGTGATACTTAAGGACATCAAATCACACTGGAAAACCGCTTCACATTTTGCAAATGGTGGTAGATCTTAAATCCTTGTGCGAACAGCTGTTATTGGCTTATGCTTTGGTTTGTTGTCAGATCTTATTAGATCATAGACGCAAGAAATAATTTTTGAGTGGGATCCAAATTCTGGTATGATCTTATCTTTTTGTTTTTAGATCCACTGATGTAATTGATCTATCACATGCCTCCATGCACATATGATACTAAACTAACCTACCTAACAGCTACCAAATATCTTTGACGTGCCACTTGAGATGTACTATAATGGAAGATGAAATATCCAGTAATCTCAAATTAAAGTTTTCTTGAGAGCATAGAGCAGAAATTGTAATTTTTCTTTTTCAACATTGACTGTTTGATGTACCTTGGCTTTTGTCATATTTAGATGACTCTCTTTATTTTGAAGAGCACATGAATTTTATTGTTTTGACCATGTCAATTAGTTTGCAAATGATCCCTTAACCCAGCGAGTGTTGTCATTGTGACATTTTGATTTTGATAGAAAGACACCTATTTATTGTCAGCATTTGAAATGAAGAACATACACATTAAGGGAAGATTTTTTTGACTTCTCATTGCAATTCATTACAGAGAGCAAGCATTTTTAACAAAACATGATACCTAACGTACTCAATTTTCCTAGTGGGCTAATGCCGCAAGTATCACCTTTAAATGCATATTTAAAAGCAATTAAACTCAGTCTCAAGCCTTCTACAGTGCATGGCAATTTTCTCAAGAATATTTATATTTATTATGTGTTATTGGCTACGTCATGCATAGATGAAACATTACCAAGCAAGAGAAACATTTTGATATCATTATTTATACAATAGTTCATCTCACTCACCTTTTCAATGTCTTCACTGTTGCGATGACTTCACTTTTACCTAAGCTTTTGCTAGTTATTTTGGAGGCCCGAATTTACCTTCAAAACGTCAAAATTTCCTCCGCGAGTACTACTTTCCGGCTTTCGGTGCAAGAGGAAAACAGTCGGTCGGACTTTAACAATTGGT